CCCAGCCAAAGTCAAGCTCTCCCCAGGGCTGAGCCCTTGGCAGAGCCAGACCCCTGCCTCCCATTCTTAAGTGAGAGGTCTGGGTGAATTCCCAGAGCTCAGTGTTTAGGAAGGCAGTTTACCGACTTAACCAGCACAAACAGCAAGTTTTAAGCATGTTTCTGGGGTCCAGCAACAGGTAAACACTTCAACAGGAAGCCTCACTCATCAAGAGCAGATGTGGATGAGCAGCACTTTTCTTTCTGATCAAAGGAATGCACTCTGGCGATCTGACCTATAACCTTGTTTTTGTTTTTTTAAGACTGTACATATAGGAAACAGGGAATCGAAATAAATGGAAGTAACCATAAGGATGACAAAGACTAGAAGTCCTAACTAACTCTAAGGACCCTGAAAGTCCCCAAATCTGGCCTTTGAGGAGAGATCTGACCAAACCCTAAGGACTCCCTATTCCACACCCGGTCCCTTGACTACAGTGGCCTTGGCTCCGGATGAAGCGCAGTCTGTGAACAGCGCTGAGTTGCTGATCTGTGACTGAAGTGAATGGGCCGCTTTCCCTAGAGTTGCCCTGTGGGGCCTGGTCGCATTGGATGCAACGCCTGCAACACTGTTGTCAGCATGTGGTTTGAGTGTTCCCACTGCGAGGACAACAGTGGTCCAGGGTCCGACCTTTCACAAAAGCAGGGAGGTCTAGGCTCAGAGGCATGGGTTATCCTTAACTCTAATTTTATTGAAAACAAATGCCGTGGACATAAACAGGCACTAAACACTCGCAACTTTTCTTTGGTGACGTTCTCTACTTTGGGTATCAGAGAGGATTTGACTAAATGACTGGTGACAGCTCATGTGCCGTCCGCTGTAACCAGGCCCTCCTCAAAGAGAACTGGACGCGCTCACCCTGTCCTGACAGCAAAGGGCAGTGTGCTTCCAGGGAGAGCCACGGCAGCACTTCCCTTAGGCCAAATTAAATCAAAACTGGTGCAGGCCTAGGGTGAAGTCGTATTCTGTTTCCCTTTTCAGACTGCCTGACCTAGTCCCTTAGCAGCAGGAATGCGGTTAAACAAAGGCAGTTGTTCGAATAATTACAAGCCCCATGTGAAGAGGCTAATCGTTTTAGTCTTGAAGTGTCAGTGATTCATAATCTTAGACTTTTGATTTTGACTTGTATTGTCAATGAAAATGTGGAGAAGGATTTGACTCTGCCAGCTGCCAGCACGGGGTGGCTGACGGTGTCGTGTCGCCCTCTAGTGGCCTCCACAGCAGGTGTGCTGCCCACCACAGGAAGCCTGAGGAGGAGCTAGTAGACCTCCCAGGCTCCCTTAGGCCCATTGGCCTCTGACTCTGGCCCACCCGCCCCACCTGAACAGCCTGTGAGCATCAGACATGGAACCGTGTCAATAAACACTAGAATGACTGGGTGAAAGTGGGGATGGAAGAGATTCCTGATTAGGGTTCAACTTTTCAGCAAAGTATTTTTAGTGAAACACAACAGCTCACTTTAGTAGCCAGGGAAAAACTCTTGCTCTGATCACTTATTTCAATGGCTTCTGAAATGTTTCACTCTGTCATTTGAAGCGGATACACGCCTTCACTGTGTTCAAATACGTCAGTCACAAAAGAGAACAGTTGTAAATATCAGAAACTAAGGATGTGCTTTTGAACTAAATGCCTCACTTCATTATTCTGCAATCCTCCGTCACATCTGCTCACACAATGTAGCTCCTGGACGCACAGGGTGCCACTGTTGCCTTTAGGACACTGTCACTCATGTTCTCCTTCTTTAGTTAACTTTATAACGATGATTTCCATCACTGTTCTAACTTGCTTAAGGCTTGAGTCCATGAACCCTCCCTTTCCTAGCATCTCTGCAGGAGTGCATTATGTCTAGACATGAGCTACCACTAATCTCACTGGCACAGTTTTATTTAAGTCACAGGGGAGAGAAACTGTCTAAAAACAGCACAGATCTTATAAACTCACAGATGAGTCACGGCACTGCAGCAGCTCCCCCAGTGAAACGCGACAGTGGGTGAAGGAGGGCCGTCTCTCGCCTGCGCACTGCTCTCCACCTCAAGGATTTCGGCCTCCCACTGTGAGGACAAGAGTGGCCCAGAGGCCGACCTTTCACAAAAGCAGGGAAGTCCAGGCTCGGTGGCATAGGGCAGCACTAGTCACGGAAACAATGCTCAGCTATGGGTCCCTTGTAGGCACGTTGGCCGGACTTGTGATCCTACCCTGGAGTATGCACCATGTTGGTTGGCAGGGTTGAGGGGCTCACCTGATTCAGAGCTGCTCAAGAGCAGGGCCAGCCCCTTCCTTCTGCTTCATAACCTCTCAGAAAGCACCCAGGTACTACACAAGAGGGGTCACAGAAAATCCATTAACTGATTTCTGCCATGGGTCTTCTGTTTTCTATGCCAGACTAGACCGCAAAAGCAAATGCAACTTTGGACCATGTAGCATTCTATAAACTTTACTGAGTGCCAACATGTACCAGGCCATGTGCCAGCTGCTGGGGACAGAGAGGTGAGGTACCATCCTTGCCTTGAGGGAGTGAGGTGAGCAGCAAGGAAGAGAATAAGAGGCATGCCAAGAGCTAAGTCCAAAGTCTAATTAAGTATCAGGTGCCACAAACATCAGGTACTTTGGGGCCCGACAGCAGGGACAGCAGGGGATGAAGGCTGCAGGGCATAGGGAGAGGAGGACAAGGAAGGCTTCAAAGAAGAGAGGACACTTGAACTGGGCCAGAGAAAGGAAAGAGCTCACCAGCTCCAGATAACCTGAGCCTCTGAGTACACACTGGAGTCGCCCACGACGTCGGCTGACAGTCGGATCCAGTCTCCAGCTCTGCCCTCTGCTCCACCCCCCCCCTCCCACCAATTCAGCTTTCGTGGAGCAAATTATGTGGGACCTAGAAGTAAAAGGGAGACTGCAAAGGGACTCACTGCTCTAGTGAGTGAAATAATGGAGGGTCCAAATAGCCTTCCGAGGAGTTGGAGGATCAGTGTGAAATGCAGAGGTCAGGGCTGGTAGTAAGTCACTGAAATGGTGTGCATGACGGTTGATGGCAGTAAAGACAAATTGAAAAATCAGTCTAAGGGTATGGGTGTGCATTTCTTCCCTGAGGTACAGCACATAAATCAGGATGTTATGATGGTGTCTGGGACGTTCTGCATGCTCTCTGCCTCTTGGTCCTCCCAGTAAAAGGACACTGAGGGGATAACAACCCTAAGAAGGAAAGGACAGCCTACGCGTCACAGGGAAGGCGGCCAGAGCGGGGCTGCCGTGCTGATGTGACTGGGGTGCGGGTACGGGAAGGCCCGGCTTGCAGACGCAGATGTGGGCACAGCAGCCAGATGCATGCTCACTACTGCCGCTGCCCTGCATGCTTTTCCCATTCACCTCACCCGTCCCTGCTCTAACCCGACACATTCAGCAGCAGCATCTCCATTTTCTAATGAGGACAGAGGTACTCAAGGAGGGGAAGCAGCTTGGCCAAGGTTACCCAGCCAGCAATAGGCAGTGCCAGACTCGAGTCCAGCCTGCAGGCTCCTGACGCTCTGTGCTTTCCCCTCTCTCGTCTCCCCAAGGACGGAAGTCCGGACAGTTCTGGCAGGCCATTCAGCCTCCTAAATAATACCAGGCAACTTGAGACACACCCCTGAATGGCCAGGCAGGGAAATGTGCAGGCGTTTCCTCGAGAGAAGGCATAGCTGTCAAGGTGTCGTCTCCTGAGATGCACTTCGCCTGTCAGAGGGCTGAAGCGGAAGACAGAGCTGCTGAGCGGTCACTCCAACATCTGCGAGACAAATCTATCTGGCTGCAGACGGGCACCAGGAGGGACACGCAGGCAGCAGAGACAAAGACGGCTTACTCCCTGCATGAGGGGTACAGCCTCTACTTGTTGCAGGCGCTCTGTGCTTTCCCAGGGGTCTGGTATGGACTGAATGTTTGTGTCCCCCCAAATCCATATGTTGAAGCCCTAACTCCTCAGTGTGATAATATTTGGAGGTAGGCCCTTCGGATGTTAATTCGGTGTAGATGAGGTCACGAGGGCAGGAACCCCATGACGTTAGCGTGCTTACAAGAAGAGGGAGAGACCAGAGCACGCCCTCTCTCTGCCATAGGAGGACACAGTGAAAAGGCGCTGTCTGCAAGCCAGGAAGAGAGCTCTCACCAGAAGCTGACCGCGCTGGCATGCTGATCTGGGACTTGGTCTCCAGAACCATGAGAGATCCATGTCTGCTGCTCAAGCCGTCCAGTGTGCGGTGTGTTACCGCAGTCAGGGCTGACTAACACAGCTGTACACAGAGACATCTGATGGCTCACCACTCAGATTCACATGGCATCTTGAGCCCTCAGCACCTCACCAGTTAGAGAGCCCTGTCTGGATTGAAAAACAATGTGCAACGACCAGGGCCACAGAAATCTGGCAGCGGCCGCTCTCAACCATGTTGAGAAATCGCAAGTGCAAGGATATCTTAGACATTGGAGTCTGATGGAGTTAGTGACCCCTGATGATGGCAGAAGCTGAGGGATCTGTTCTCACCAGAAAGCTCAGACCTGGCTTGAAGTTGCTCAGGCAAGACCCTCAAATGAGAGGTGGGGCCTTGGGGAAGCACCCCCAGCAGGGTGCGGCAGAACCACGGACAAGTCCCTCATGCATTTGCTTGGGTGATTCCTACTGACAACTGCTGGGGTAGGCCCTGTGCCTTCCTGAGCCTCCCAAGGTCCGAGGAAGCTGGGAAGGGAGCATCACTCATTTTGTACCTGTGATAACTGAGGCCAAATCTACCAGGCTAGCAAGGAGCAGAGCTAGCGCGTGAACCTGGATCTGCTGATTTGGAAGCCCAGGGCTTTGTCTAAAATGAGCAGCCAACTTTCAAATGCTGACTGAGAAGCTGGACAGAGAAGACTGGTGTTCTGGAAAACCACGAGGGCACTGAGCATGGAATGATGCATTCTGACGCCAAGAAGCCTCGCAGCCTCGGGGCACTTACCCCTTCCATGGGCGCTATGAGCAGGTCGTACAGAACACGGAGTGGGGGCCTGGCCAACGAGCTCTGCCTCCTGGGAAGAGAGGAGGTCCCATCCTTGGTGGGTGACATGGCGCTGCTGACCAAGCTTGTCATGCTCTGGCAGCTCCTGGGGAGAGAAGGTCCAGGGATTAATAAGCAGGGCACAGGCGGGGCAGGCAGGGACTCACCACTCACCCTCAGTGCTCCAGTTCCTGGAAAAGGCAGCTGGAGGCTGCACAGCAGCGCCAAGCCCAGCTCCCTCCTGGCTTCACCCCCTTCTCCTCCCTTTCAGGTAGTTTTCACAGAACAGTAAGCACTGACAGAAACCACAGGGTAAACCAGCTGCACACAACAGCTTACATTGCTGTGGAATTTTTCTGCATAATCGAATGTCCCAAAGTGCTGTTCAAAGGATATAATTACATCCTTGTGTGGCGTGATTGTGTGCGGGCAAACGTGAGGACCATTAGAATCAGCAGCAGCCACCAAACTGACAGGGAGGACAGAGCCCCAAGCCAATTAATCTGCGGGTAGGAGGCCCGGACAAGACAAGCAGCATGTTGGCCCCAACCTCGGCCTCAGGTCAGTCACTGGGCAGCCAGGCGAGCCCAGCCCCCACCATGTGGAGATATTGGGAGCAGCCAACTGGGCAGCACCTGCAGAGCAGGTCAGCTCAAGCATGGCTGCAGGGCTTTGTTTTGCTTTTTAGTTTATGTTCCGGTGTTCGTAAGGAACATTCTATTAATATAGATGGTATTTTCAATCGCAAGGACCCCATTTCACACTCTCAACACAGGATGAGAACACTTGTTCGTTCATTTAGAAAATGCTTCCTGAGTACCAGCTACCTGCCAGGCACTGCCACAGGCCTGGGGACGTGCAGAGGACAAACCCACAGGTGAGCAAAAGCAGCAGCAGAAGGGGAAACAAACCCATTTCCAATGCAAGGACCAGGCTGCCCCCATACGACTCTCTGGACCTGCGCCACAGCCTGGCTGGTGTGGCCTCGGGACAAGTCTCTGGTGAGGCTCTCTGCACGGCTAGTGGACAGTCAGTAGTCTCTTAACCTTGACTGAGACACTGAGCACAGTTTGGGGTTTCTGATGAGCACTCCAGGACCCTTAAGGACAGAGACCAGGCACACACTGCCGAGCTTTGGTAAGGACCCTGGGCTGCTGGCGGTGGCACCTCCTTGCTGCCACCTAAGAAGACAACAGAAGGCAGCTTCCCCCTGGGCCAGGCTGGGACCCACGGTCATCAGATGAAGTGATTTGAAAGCTTCGTTTGTGTTTTCCATGTTTGGCGTCAATCTTCTTCTTCCCTGACCCTGCTTGGTGTTCTCAGCTATGTCTCCCTTGACCTAAATTCTAGGATTATGAAAAGCCAGGCTGTGAGCCCCTCAGACCCTTCTGACTCTGCGCCCTGCCAGGGAAGAAAGAGCCAAGGACCCGAGGGGCCTGAGAGTCCCTCACATCCACTCCCCCATCTCCCTCACTCAGGAAACACGTAATTACAAGCGACTGAGGCCATGGCCTGTCTGCCACCAGAGCCAGTGAAGCTCAGATAACCCTGGAGTGACACTCAGAGGCTTAATTCCACAGAACACACTGCAAAGAGCAATGCTTCCCTGAAGGACAGAGTAGCAGACTGCTCTCCAGAGGGCACGTTCTGGAGTGACACGTGGTGTCTGTGTGTGATCGCATTCTCGGCAGATGGAGCATAGTCTAGAAAGCCCTCACTGCCGCCGGGGCAGCATCACGGGGCAGCAGCAGGACCGCTCGGCGCCTTCCCGTGTACCTCTCATTTTATGTCCTAGACGTGTGTCTGCCTGGATTGTGGGCTTGTAACCCCACTCGTGGATCTGAGTCTGGTTAGCCCAGCCACAGCCATCCGGGAAAAGTGCCATGTCCCTGGACAGTGCCGTGGCCACATGTCCTCACGGGGACTGATGGGGTTGCTCCACAAACCCCAAGGCTCTGAACTAAAAAGCTGGAGAAAGACCACGGCCCTAGAGCACCTCTGCCCCACCCCTCCACGCCCGCCCAGCTCCAAGCTCTCCCTGGTACAAGGAGTGCGAGCTGTGCAGGGAAGACACAGGGCGCTCCTTCCAGCTGACCCAGAGCACAGCACTTACGATACGACATTAGAACCGCATGTCTGGCCACCTGGCCCCTCCCTGGTGGCGGGGGTCCTAAGGGCACAGGACCTCAGGCTGAGCACACCCTGGACGCCTGGGAGGCACTCTGCTGGCAGTGTGAGCTGCTGAACATGGTTTCTAGAAGCAGCACAGCAAGGAAGAGCCAGGGAAGGGCAATTCAAGAGGCGAGTGTCCAGAGGGAGGTGGAGAGGTATGCAGTGGACAGACCCCGCTGGGTGCACATCCCAGCCTGGGGCAAGTCATCCACCCTCTGGGCCTCCCTTGCTGCATCTGCTCAAAGGGGAAATGCAGCCCACAGGCAAGGAGAGTTGGGATTGGAGAGCACAACTGCAAAGCCTCCAGGACCTGAAAGGCAGTGGGAGTCTTAGCTGATGGGGGAATGAGTAAGACACAGGCCGGAGGCAGAGAAGGGCTGGGGACTCGAGTGCAAGCGTGATGGCAGTGGGGTCTTCTCAGTTAACCCCATGAAGTGCCACAGGCATCGCAAAGGGCCCAACAACACTGATCCATTCCACATGCAGTGCCACCCACGATGTGCCAGGCATGTAGATCCACAGATGGGCCAGGTCATGGTCCCTGCACCAGCCCAGGAGGAAAGGGATGCCCAAGCACACACCCTGACCAGCTGCTGGTCAGGCAGAGCTGAAGGAGGACTTCCTGGAGAGACCATCTGATGTGGGCACAGGGGATGACCTAGAGTTATCCTGTCTGTAGACAAGGAAGAAAAGGCCATCGCCCATTCCAAACCCATAGAACATGGGGAAAGGCACAGACACCGGAGGTGGAGCCTGGAGTGCCTGGGGCTCCAGCGTGGGGGCAAGTGGACAGAAGGTCAGAGCTGCAGGCTGGAAGGGTAGTTGGGACAGGTGGGCTGTGGGCTCTGGGTTATGCTGTGGAGGAAACGAGGCCTGGGGAGGCCAGCCCACCTCCTTTCACATTAGGCTGAACCAAAGTTCTTCCCCCAGGCCGATTCCTTCCTAGGGATGATCAGAGCAAGACTGTCTTCAATATGCACCCTTCCCTGAGAACTTCCCTGCAGGTCTTACAGGGGCTGTGCAGAGCCTTCATCATGAGGCCACATGACACCCATCCTTACCCCTGGCCAGCTTCTGCTGAGAAGCCGGTCAGATGTCTTTGACTAAGCTGATGGACATGAGGAGATCATGGCACCTGCTTACCCTGCGGAGGCTTCCTAAGACAACCCCTCTGGGCAGCTGCATGTTTCTAGGCAGTGCAGACTCTTCAAGAGCTCAGCCTTGGAGGTGGGCAGAGCACCCCAGGGCATGCAAACCTGCCCACGGAGGGCAAGGGGTCATGTTCAAGCCTCAGCAGAGCCACCCTGCCTGCAGCGCCTGACTTTGTTCTGTCCTCTCCCAGGCTGTCAAGCCCCCCTGTGCCCCATCTATCCTTGCTGACTTCTGCTCCCAGACACTGCATGAGCACTGGCTCTCAGCCTACGACCCTGGTCCCTCTTGAGTCCTGGCAGGTCAGAGATGAACCATCTCTGAGGAAGAGCTTCTGGGCACTGACCTCGGCTGGCCCAGGCTGGGGGGTACACCTGGACCTGGTCACATGGCTTCTTGCACTGGTCAGGTGAAAGCCCTGAGTTTGCCCCTCTGCTCTCTGCTCCTCTTCAGGCACCTATCCCTAGAGATGTCCTTTTCAATACAAACAAAGCCCAGAAAATATTCAGCTGGTGGTTAAAAACAACAACAAACAAACAAACCAAAAACCCAACCAGCCTGAAACAATAATTTGAGGTCAAAAACTGTTTTCATCAAGACTCTTTTCTCCCTAAGCTGGAGGCATGTTTCGAGCGGCTCCCAGCCTCAGGAGCCAGCTCCCCGGTCTCTTCACAGCAGCAGTGCCTGTGCCTTTCTCTGCCTTGTCGGCAGCAGCATCTGTGCCCACTGGAGAGCTGTCCCAGCACAACAGACTCAGGACAGAGAACTGGAGGGCAGAAAACCAAGGCCAGGAGCGACGGAGGGTCCTGGACCCAGAGCCCTCCTGAGGGGCAGGTGTGGGGATGGTCTCCGGCCAGGACCAGGAGGCAGGACTTGCTCCACGCTGGCCGTGTCCTCACCTCCACCAGCATTAGGTGCCACAGCCCCCTTCATGTGTTGCTTCTGCACTGACAGTGACCTGGAGATCTGCGTAAAGACAGTCAAGAATTCAAAACAGCCCCACAGTCAGCTGCCTAGCCCTGATCCTGGGAATGCTTACAGAAAACACAGAGGGCTCACCGGCTGTGTGACTGTCAGGACTGTCACTTTCCTACTCCCCTCATTTCCTTGCTTATAAAAAGGGTTACTCTAAAGTCTTTGTAGGTCTCTTCTAGTTTTAAAAATTAAAAATTCACTCAACTTAGGAAGCCATCATAAACATGGTGGCTTTTTAATTTATTTTTTAAATATATTTTTATTGATTTCTTTTGAGAGAGAGAGAGGAAGGGAGAGATAGAAACATCAATGTGAGTGAGAAACATTGATCGGCTGCACCTGCACGGGCCCTATTGGGCATCAAGCCCAAAACCTGGGCATGTGCCCTGACCGGGAATCGAATCAGGACCTCTCAGTGCATGGGACGACGCTCAATCCACTGAGCCACACTGGCTGGGCCATGGTGGCCCTTTCAACCTCTCTGCTGACTGCCAGGGCACTGCCGCAGCCCCACGGCCTGAAGCTCTGCAGCCTTCCCTGTGCTCACCCTGCGTGAGCGTCACGTGTGAGCACATCGTTCAAGTGCTGTGATCTGCCCAGAGAGATGCACACCCCCCTCGTCAGATCTCAGAGTCACAGCTGCATGGCAGTGGGTCCTCTGAGCTCTAAGCCTCTGGCTGGCAGTGGTGACGGGAGAACAGGTGTGTGGGATGACCTGACAGCTGCTGGCCTTACGAGCACAGCTGGCTCCTCGCTGGCACCATGCCAACAGCCTGGTGCATCCATGGTCCTGTGGCAGAATGGCCGTGG